GGGCAGATCAATGCCCCCACAGCGAGGGAGGGATTAGGGTTGGGACAAGCTTCCCTGCTGGGGCAGGAGAGCGCAGGACTCAGGGAGTATGGCTCCCACCCCTGTGTGCTGCCAGTCTGGGAACTGCTCGTCTGGTGGCTCCTCTGGTGGCACTCTGCTTTCTGTTCTTGCTGCCGGTTTAGAAGGACATGGGAGCGGGCATGTGCTCCTGCGTCTGCGCGGGGTGGGCTGGGCAGGGCTGTGCTCCAGGAGGCTAGCCCTACTTGCCTGCTGCCGAGCTGTACTCTGTGGGGCGAGGGGAGCCAGGGATGCGCTCTGGGCGACTAGCCCCAGTCATAGCCTGAAGCGCAGCCACCCCAAATTCCCCATAGCCCCTGCCACCAGCCCTGTCCCGATCTGGGCATACACACCTGCCTCCGTGCTCTGCCACTGCTCATCCAGCCAGCGCAGAGTGGAGCAAAGCCGTGGCTTGTCTGGGAGACACGGGGAGGCTGGAGCAGCTTCCATCGAGGGGCTTGTCTGAGGCAGTGTAGTGGCACTGTCTTGCACCTCACTGCCCTGGTGAGTGGCAGGAGGGTATATCCCCTGCTTCCAGCACCTTCGGCTGCCCATCCAGATTGCAGCCCGCCCTGCACCGATCTGGGGGCGCACACCTGCTCCCATACTATAGGAGCCGCCAGAAGAGCAGCTCCTGGACTGGCAGCACTCAGTGGCGGGAGCCCCACTCCCCGAGTCCCACGCTCCCCTGCCCCAGCCCCATTCCTCCCTTGCTGTGGGGGCATTGTTCTGTCCCACCCACACCCCTCCCCTCCCCACTCTGCCCACCACAACACACTTACCTGCTGGATGCAGCTGTGTCCAGCATCATGGAGGACTGCTGCCTGCATAGTCTACGGCCGAATGTCCAGATCCAAATTGGCCTAATGGAATTGGGACAGTGATTTGAATCACTGAATCAAATCATTGTCCCTCCAAATCGGCCAAATCTGAATCCGAAACAAATACTTGCTGCTTCGCACAGGCCTTAACATAGGTATCACACACTGCAGCTTGATGGGGTTTGCATCATACCTTAAAGGTCTGGACATTTCCTTATCAAGGATTGAGGGTGGAGCTTCAAAGTGGAGGAGGGCACCTCAGATTCTCTGCTGGCTGCTTCCTCTCTCATACTGAGGTAACTTTAGGTCACTGCTATCACAGAGCTAAGTTTGTCTTTACCTTTGAGTAGCACAGACTGTTTTTTAGGAAGTTTTGTCCCCACACATGCTTCCCTCCCACTCCCATTTGCTTATAAGTGTTACATTGCTAATGTGTTCTGAGTAAGTCAGTATTTACAGAACAGATGCACATCATTAATATTCACTCTTCTGGAAAGCTCCAATGAAGCAAAACATAGAGAAGGAAATCATAGGAAGTGAGGGTTGGACCTCAGGAGGTCATCTAGTCCCAACCCCCTGCTCAAAGCAGGACCATCCCCAACTTGATCATCCTAGCCTAAGCTTTGTCTAGCTGGATTTTGAAAACCCTGAAAGATGGAGCTTCCACCACCTCCCTGGGTAACCCGTTCCAGTCTTTTACCACCCTCCTAGTGAGAGAATTTGTCTTAATATCTAACCTAAACTTCCCTTGCTGCAGCTTGAGACCATTGCTCCTTGTTCTGTCATCTGCCACCACCATCCTCTTTCAAGCCCCCCTTTCGGTAGTTGAAGACTGCTATTAAATCTCTTCTCACTCTTCTCTTCTCTAGCCTAAATACATCTGGTTCCCCCAATCTTTCCTCATAAATCATGTCCTCACAGCCCCTTCATCATTTTTGTTGCCCTCTGCTGGGCTCTCTCCAGTTTGTCCACATCCTTTTTGTAGTGAGGGGTCCAAAACTGAACACAGTACCTCAGATGTTGCCTGACCAGTGCTGAATAGAGGGGAATAATTACTTTGCTTGACCTACTGGCAACACACCTACTAATGCAGCCAGTGTGCTGTTAGCCCTCTTGACAATTCGGGCACACCCCTCGCTCAAATGTTTGGACACTTTTTATTCAAATGCCTTGATCACAAACTGTATCTGGGTCTGTAGATGCAGAGAGATTTTTGTTCACGTGGCCCATGTATGTCAAAGTGGTTTGGCTGTAATAGGCCTACCAATTTTTTTAGAATGCACTTAGTTCCCCAAGTGTCTTTCACTTGAAACTGGATAATTTTTTGTAATGGAAGAGCCTGTTGTTGGCTCCTACGGGAATAAATTATGTTGAGGACCAGGGTGAGGAGTCCTGTTGTGCAAATTTACAGCATAATAGAAACACAGTGACTTGTTTTGTTTTGCTCCCCTCTGCTAGCAGGAGGCAAAGGATTAGGAATCATAAAGAAGCCCACATGCTTACCTGGGCTTTGCTTTTCAACATGAGGAATAGCGAGGCACCGGCTGTGGTTGTTAGTAGAAGACAAAGGGCCAGATTCTGTTCCACCTGTTAGACACAAGTGGCTCCTATTTGCCTAAAACTACACCTTTTAACTGCTTTAAAAGGAAGGCACAGTTACTGCTGTGAAGTTGTTTTGGTGTTGCAATTTAACTTTTAGCTCAGCATGATCTTGCAGAAGTACAAACAAGTGGAATCCTTGTAAGTAACCCAGAATGAAATGGGGTTAAACTTGCAATGGTTTTGCTGCATTGTATCACTTCAGAAGGCTGCCGATGTAACAGTTTCACTGCAGCCACCGACATCAATATCAAATGATACTGTCTGTCTAGGTGGGAAAGTGGGAGCCTGGCTTTAACAGCTTTTTTTTTTTTTTTAAATCGGGCTACTTCTGGAGCACACTTTCATCTTCACTTTAAGCCTTAAGTCACAAAAAGTGGCAAGGAGCCCTCACATTCTGTATTTATTTTATTTTAGAGATATGAGCTGAGAGGAGTACGATTGTGTTTAGCTATGTAATAAGTGGATAGACACTTGTCGGGGATGATCCTGCCTTGAGATTGGGGGATGGGGGGCTGGATTGGATGATCTCATGAGGTCCCTTCCAGCCCTACTTTCCTCTGATCCTGTGTGTCTGCCTTTAAAGGGGGGGGAGGAGTGAATGGAATAGGGTTGTTTAAGTCTCTGGCCCTTGATGATGTATTCTACTTTAACCTTTTCTCTTAAGGGAGGTAGATGGATGGAACACAGTGCCAACTTCTGTGGTTGGGGGTTGTGGTCATCTAGTTTCTGGGTTTTATAGATATGGCTTAGTTTGGTGTGGGTAAAGTTTATTTTTTGAGTGTTTGAATGTAGAGAATCTTCCTTGCCTGATTGCCCACTACATGCACACTCTTGCTCCCCTCTCTTCTCCATGAGCGAGACTTTTTGGAAAAGCAGTTCTGAAGAATTAACTCAGGATAAGGTGCCAAAGAACACTGTGTAAGCAAATGCTTTTATTCTGCCTTCTCTCCAGTATGCTTTCCTGGTGACCACTTCAGTGCAGTTTGCTGGAGGAGGAGTTGTTTTCTTTGGGCTTATAACATCCCCTAAGGAAGTGGGTAAGTAGAAATGGTTCATGTCCTCTTAATCCCTTACTGGACAGCAGGTTTGCAGCTTCTCCACATAGTGCTAAAATCATGATTAGGACTACACGTCACATCAAAAACCTGATTTCTGATGCTAAACATTCATGTAGCTGGAAGCAGCTGTAAACCATCTCTGTATCCTAGTAGTGGCTGCTTGAGCAAATAGTCTCTGGGCATGGCACAGGCTAGATGCAGAGACCTTTTTTTGCATGGATAGTGCACGCCAGAGTAGTTTGGTAATAATGGGTGTCCCATAGCCATTAGAATTCACCACGTCCCTGGAAAGCAGATATTTCTCTAATAGGAGGAAGTACTACTGGCTGTCAAGGAAGTAAATTGTATTAAGGAGCCGGCTGAAAACTGAGGGAGAATGCCTTGTGCATGACTCCTTCAGCAGATTAAGGAAAGGCAGATGGGTTTGAAAGGAGTGTTGGTCTCATCTGAGAAGACAGTTGGCAAGGCAGTGTCTCCAGTATGAGTGTACAAGTGTAGTGGCGCTTTGGCAGGGCCATAGAGGAGTCTCATGTGTTTGTGTGGGAGGCTGCAGAGGAAGGTAGCTGTTGAAATGCTATATGTGTGCATATATGTAGTTCAGACAGCTTAAAAAGTGTTCTAGGAAATCCAGACCAGAGAGACTTCTGTTTAGTACATCTGTTAGAACAGCTGCCTGTAGATCTTGAGTATCTGTGTGGCAGCGTGCAGATCCGAAGCCCAGTGAGCCTAGACACTTAAGTAAGGGGGAATGCACTAATTTGTTGTCTTCCAACTAATGGCCAGACACTCAGAACAGAAAGAGGCGACGCAAGGATCAGACAGAATACTTTCAAGAGCGATAGAAGACAAGGGGTATAGAAACTGGCGGCCCTGCAGAACACCACCTAGAAGAGTTTCTAAGCCAAAGGAGGATGGAGGTACGGGAGAGCAAGGGCATTGTCAGAAGGGAGATATGCTTATAAGGAGCAAGCACGGCTTTTGTGTGAGGAGAGGGTGGTGGTGTCCTTTGCTTTTATGGTCTATTTTCATGCATTCTAGGCCTCCCTGAGCTTGATGCAGAAGAGAAGAGTGTTGCGGAAGAAGATGCCAACAGACCCTTAATGAGCAGTGAAGATGTGGATGACTATGACCGAAATTATTCCATTCAGGCATCTGACAGTAGCATTCAGCCCAAGGCCATTGGCTTTTTCCAAGCTTGTTGCCTACCAGGTGTCATATTGGTAAGAACCCCTCAGCTTTGTTCATCACAGTATGCAATATATATAGTTGTTAAGAGAGAATAATTAAGGTTAAACAGCTAAAAAATGCCAGAAAAGAGATTCTCCATTCAGCCAGAATTGATGAATGAGCAGATGTTGGCGGCAGGGACATGGAAGTAATTAAATTTGGGGCTTCTAGAGAGTGGGTCCTTGCAGTTTCTGTACTCAACTTCAGAGAGTTGACAAAACTAAGTATATTTTGTAAGATTATTCAGGTGGTGGAAGGGGGGAAAAGAAATTAAAATGGATTGGTGAAAATTATATACATTACAAAATTCATTTGGGTTATAACTAATGTTCAGAACTTCCAAGATCATAAGTGGTATCCTTCTGTATTATGGTGCAGTTTTGAATAACTCCCTACTGTTTTATTCCTCAGGACCTTTGCATAGGGTGGATCTGATTTGGAAATGTCTTGGGGTTCTGTAGTGAAGTAGGAGCCGTTTACCTCTCGAACCCCTGCCTTATTTGCTGTAGAAGTTGAAGAGTGTGTAATGAGTGAGGCAGAGGGTTGCAGGAAAAACAAGGATAGTCTTGTAGTTGAGGCAGTTGAATGCTGTCCTAGACAAAGGATTCTATACCTACGTGCCTTTGCCTGACTTCCTCTGTGAAGCAGTCAAGCTACTTTAACCAGATTTTCCCCATTTTGCCACTGATGATGTATTTCTCACTTTCTGGGTCTGACCCTGGCATCTCATAAGCAGATGTGCCAAGTACTCACAGCTGCAACTGAAAGTGTTTTGAGTGCGTGTGTGCATGCATGTGGTTAAAAATTCTAGGGAGAAACAGCTTTAAGTGTCTCAGATTGGGCCTCCAAAACTAGTGAAAACTTCTGACTTCAAGCTGCCTTTGCTTCCACACTCTATCAGTACAATAGGGTTTATACCAACCCCACATTTAACTGGGTGTAGTGGAGACTGACTTGATTAGGTTGTAATACTAGAGTGAGAAGTCCTGTAGAAAAACCCTTAAGGAAATTTATTCTTTCTTCTTGAATAGTGTGCAGTAAATAAGGTCTGGGGGAATGCAGTGAGCAATAAAGAGAAAACAAAATAGTGGATAACTGCTTGTGAAGTAAGGACTCTCCATTCTGTTCACTGATTTAGGCCCGGTAGCAGTGTAAAAATAAGACATGAGTTCGTAAGGAAGGCCTGCAGCATAGTGTGCACACTAATGGGACTGAACTAAGGCTGCCCAGGCAGCTTTAATTTTGCCATTTCCTAACTTCTGTAACAGACTTGGCAACATGAATAATTCTTTATGGATTTTTCAGCATAATATCATATACTGTAAAGCAAACTGGGAAAAAAGAGACTTTTCACTACAGGGCATCCTGTTCATATGTGCATGGTATATTCACAGAGTTAGAGATCTAGATACACTACACAGGCCTCCACTACTTGAGCTAATGTTGTTGTAGGTTGTTATTCTGGGTGTGGACTAGTACTAAAGGGGGATGGGACACCTTCCTAGTGGGTTGCACAGATACTTGCTTACAGACCATTGATGAGACTTGGGGTTCATGGATAGCATTCACTTCCAGACTCTGGAAGTGAAGTATACTCTAGGCACAGGGTCTTTTTGCTGCTCCTCTTCTGGAGCTCTTTGTTTCTTGTCCCTTTCACTGCTCATCGTCCCAGTCTCCTCATCCAGCTAGTTCTCCTCACTCTGGTCTACTCCCACAGAAGGCAGGGTAGGTATCTACCTTTTATAGACTAAATAAGATATAGATATATATGAGCACAAACTTTTCTGAACCCAATTTCATTACCTACACAGTTGTCATTTCCCTCTCCACCCCACCACCAAGCCCAATTATTTTATCAACTTCCATTGCTTGTTTTCCCAGTCTCTGCCCACCCAGTTTGTTCTCCCCATTCTACCCCTGCCATCAAATCTGTCTTGCTGTCTCCCCACCTCATTCCCACTTTCCTTGTCCAGCCACTCTGTCTCCCTCTAGGTCAGTGCCTGGAGCCCAGCTGGTTCACACATTCTTTACCAGCACCTACTTGTCACATCATATCTAACTGTTCCTGCTGCTCTCTGTCTCTTGTCTCCCAGTCACAGTTTCCTCTGCTAGACTCATTGTCCTAATCTGTCCCTTTACTTATCTTGTCAGTGGGTTTTTTTTCTTTATTAGACAGTTTCTTCCTTCACTCAGCCTGAATGCCATTGTGAGAGTGATTGAGCACAGAAATGAAACAGGCTCCCTGCTTTATTTTGGTGCCCAGTTGGAGTCTAGAGTGTTTGGAAGCTGTGGTTACAAGGAGAGTCCAGGTTTACCTATCTGTGTTAGGGTAGAACATGTGTAAGAGCTTGGAGGGGCTGAAGCACGTTCACTGAGGACAAACTCTTTGGAATATTTGCTTTCTAAAATGTTATCTCTACTCAGCAAACACAAACTGAGGGGTGTTTTTTAGGGGTGAACCAATAAAAATATGTGGGCTGATATCAATGGCTGATTATTAAACAGCCATATTGGCTGATACCAAGCCTTTTGCTGATACGCAGCCCAGCATCTTGGAGAGTCTGGTAAGTCTGTGGGGGGTGAGAAGGGGCATGGGGGGCAGATGGAGGGGTGCAGCCGCACCCATGCACACAGCATTTACTGGCGATTATCAGTTTAAAAAAAAAAAAAAAAAGCCAATTGCTGAAAATGTAAATTCATATTTTATCAGTGCTGATATGATATGGATAGATGTATCGGTGCATCTCTAGTATTTTTCCCTCGTACACTCATAATTTTTCCAAATTGGGCATGTTTTCCAAGAAAAGCGAAAGGCAAGTCCCTGATGCAAAGGTCACCATCCAGCTTAATGTCATTTCCCTGCCCCAGAGCATAGGAGGGCTAGGGTTTCTTAAATGAAATTTCCACTAACTGTATGTTTTCCAGTGTGTTGTTTTTGGGAATGCCTGGAAAATTCTGGCTTAATCTAAAAAAAAAAAAAAGCCTGAAGCAGAAGACTGGCATGGAAAGCTTTAGCCTGCAGTGTTAGTGAGACAACTTTATAAACAACTGAAAACAGGGTGTGTTAGGCACCCTTATAGGTGTGGTTGGTAGCACTGCCTATTATTGTAACGATGGGGGAAAAAGGGCTACCATGGGAAAAAGGGTGCTGCTGTTACTGAAGAACTAATACAGACAGTAATAAATAAAGGGAACGTAACTGCCTTGAATTCTGTAAATGCCACACTAGGAAAGGATTGGTTTGGAGGGGTGCTAGGAGTAGGAGAATGCTCCCAACTCTCTACTCAGCATTGGTGAGGCTGCAGTTGGAGTACTGCATCCAGTTCTGGGCACCACGCTTCAAGGAGGATGTGGAGAAGCTTGAGAGAAGAGCCACTTATAGTTTCATAGTTTCTAGGGTCGGAAGGGACCTGAGCAGATCATCTAGTCCGACCCCCTGCCATGGCAGGAAGAGCACTGGGGTCAAATGACCCCAG